AAGAGAAAGCAATGAACTTGTGCATGCCCTCTAGTGCTCAGCTCACTCTCTCTGCTCTCATACAGTTTAGAATCCCCTGTCTTGGGAATGGGGCCACCCACAGGGGATGGGTCTTTACTTCTCAATTAACATGACCAAGGTAATTCTCCACAAATACGTCCACAGGTCAACCTAGTTAGCTCTTCATAGGGATTCCCTTCCCAGATCATTCTAGATTATGCCAGGTTGACATTGAACACTAAATATAGCAGGCCAGCACTATACCATATACACTGGTCTATAGCATGCTCAGCAGAAAACATTTCATCAGACTAATGACTTTTCAAAAAGAAAACTAGAATAATAGTCTGCAGGACATCTGAGGCTAATTCTTATTCTGAATTGGGGGGGGGCATATAAGGGGCATGTGCATGGGGGTAAGTACTTGGAGGGTGGGTGGTATGCGTGTGAGGGGCGATATGTGTATATGGACTTGTTTGCCTATAACCTGCCTGTGGATGTATGTGTGGAGGCCAGAAGCCAGCTTCAAATATCTTCTATATTGTTCTCCACATGTATGCAGCATCTGAAGGTAATGCACTGTTCCCAGGTATCTTGTTGTTCCTTCTGGGAACAGGGAGGGTTTCCTCTCTAATTTCTCTTTAGACTGTGCTACCAAAATTCCTGTCATGTCTGAGTGTTTTCTGAGAAGTCCAAAGTCTGCATAATGATCATATTGGTGAGGCTCAGTTTCAGCATGAAATGTTCCCTTTAAGGACATGTGTAGTCATGCTCAGTGGTTAAGCTTCTTTTCAACTGTACCCAAATTCAGTTCTCAGCATCCATGGTGGGTATCCCACAACTGCTGATAACTTCAGTTCCAGGGAATCCCACATGCACAGACCTGTTCACATATGGGAGAGAACACACATACACACACACACACACACACACACACAGAGAGAGAGAGAGAGAGAGAGAGAGAGAGAGAGAGAGAGAGAGAGAGAGAGAATTAAAATATAGTTTTAAGATCTCTTTTACTTTGAGCCAGGTATTGTGGCCCATGCTTGCAACCCCAGCATGGTGGACTCTGACTCAGGAGGACAGATCATAATTTTGGGATCATCCTGTGCTACATAGAAAGTCTCCAAAAGACATAATCAGCTGAATGTGATGGCACAGACCTTCACCATCCGTACTTGGGAAGCAGAGGTAGACAGATCTCTTTGCGTTTGAGACCAACCTAGCCTACATAAGTGAGTTCCAGACCAGCTAGGGTTATGTAGTGAGATCCTATCTCAAAAACAAAAGGAATCAATTTTTTAAAAAGTAACCACTTTAATGCTTAAAGTTCCAAAATCTATAGCATCAGTTTCTCCAACTCCAGCATCCCAACTCACCATTTGAAATCCACTCAACAGACATGGCCTTGTGATTAAATAGCTGAACCTCAGAACTGTGGAGAAATAGTTGTGATTTTGTAGCTACCAACGTGTCCTTGGAGTCATTGCTCTCCTGAACATCAGTTTTATGTGTAACACGGTGAGTATAACATTCCTATCAGATGAGACTGTGCTCTGGAGAGTGACAGAATCCGTGGGCAGCACAGGCTGAGGTTTGCTGTTAAAAGGGAGCTTGCGCAGCGTTGGAAACCTTTCTTCTAGCTGCTCCTCTAGGTCATGGAAAGACAGGGCCTAGGAGAACTTGGGCATTGTCTGTGTGGAAAAGATAAATATCAGAACCTTAAAACAAAATAGAAAAATTTATTGTAAAAGCCCTCAAACTTAGCTGTCAGTCCACTGCTCCCACATCATTGGAACAGAGAGACATTTTCCTCACTCTAGAGAAGAGACTGGAAGAGTGGAAGGTGTTGTATGCTCTTTCTACCAGTCACACCACTTTACACATCCCTGTTTGTGAATGCATGCAAACCTCTCTGTGTGTGAGCATGCACACATGCGCATGTATGCCAGTACGTGTTCAAGAGAGCATATGTGTATGTGTGGAGGCCAGAAGACAACCTCGGGCATTTTTCAGCCATCATTCCCCTTGGGTTTTGAGTCAGAGTCTCTCACAGGTCCAGAGGTTGCCAGGTAGGATATGTTGTCTACTCAGTGTGCCAAGGAACCCACTTTTGCCCTGCCAGTTCTGAGATTATAAGCACAAATCAGTATGACTGGCTTTTTAACATGGGTTCTAGAATCAAAATCTCATGTTCATGCTTGCATTAGGGGCTTGGGAGATAAGTCAATGGATGCCTTTTACACAAGCATAAAGAACTGTGTTTGAATCCTCACATGGAAAAAGTTGGCTGTGGCTGTGGCTACCTGAATGTCTAAAACTCACAAGTGAGTTCTTCTCCTATGGTACAGAGACAGAAGGATTGCTGGGCCTCGATTACTGCTAGCCTACCTCCAGACTCAGTGAGACCCTGCCTCAAGGAAATAAGACAGAATACGATAGAGTAAGGGACTTAACATTCTCTTGTGTGCACATCTGCACACAAGTGTGTGCACTCACGTTCACATAATAATATACCAAATACACCACACATATATGCTGGTGTACACACACCAGGAATAATAGTAGTAAACCATTTTAGAGGGCAAAGATATGAAAAATCTTTGCAAAGAAACTAGCATGCTCAAAACTGCTATGCAAATGAATAATAAAGTTACTTAGAGCAGGAGAGCCATGAAGGCCAGCCAGCTTCACGACTTACTCTGCAGCTGTAATTGACGACTGCAGTGAACTACTAGGGTATGCAGTGGTGTCTTTTCCTTCAATCATTATCTTACAGAGAGATGTAGCAGCCTCCCTGCTTTCCTGGTCATATGGATACCTCCCTCTGAGCTAAATGCCCAGAATGACAGGGAGATCACCTGTGTGTCCACAGAGCCATGAGATCGTCTACTGCCTGGAGAAATTCCAGGTTCTGATACAGTAAAAAGCCTTGAGTTCTGGGACTCCATGCATTTGGGGCTATATTACTCTTGCTTTCATGCTGCAGGGACCAGCCTAACTTCTCCTTTAACTGTAACTGGTTTTCAAGAAACACTTTTTCTTACAGGATGCCTCACAGAATCTGAGAAAGACAAAACCATTCTGTCTTTCTCATTTTTTGCTAAATCCCCTGGCAACTATCCATTCATTTATTCAGTTTGGGAAACAGGGTCTCATGCAGCACAGGCTAACTTCAAGCTCACAATGTAGTAAAATCTGGCTTCAAATGCTTTTCCTGCCCTCACCTTCCCGCTGCTGGGATTACAAACACGCACCATGACCAGCCTCCCCTGGAAACTCATCTCAGCATCCACTGCAGAGAAATCAGAATAAATATGCATTCTGGGAGGCATTTCTTCTTCTTTTTAATATCTGGTATGATTTCCATTGTTCTTTTGAATAAGAACACAAAGCACCAGGTTTCATTACGACATTCTTCAAACACATGTATCATTGTCAGTGTATTTTGTTCATATTGTATCTTTGCTGTTTAGCAAGATGACATGATGTGGGATTCCTCTCTGTATGCTGTGAATACCATTGGTTAATAAAGAAATTCTTGGGCCTGCACAGGGCAGAATAGAGGTAGGTGGGGGAAACTAAACTGAATGCTGGGAGAAAAGAAAGCAAGGTCAGGGAGACATAGTGTAGCCACCAGAGGGGAAAGACATGAGCAGCCATCTGAAACCTTGTATATATATTTTATATTTTAAAATATAAAATAATAGAAATGGGTTAATTTAAATATGTAAGAGCTTGCTAGGAATATGCTATAGTGACTGGCCAAGCAGTGATTAATGAATACAGTTTCTGTGTGGTTATTTTGGGAGTCTGGGCAGTTGGGAAATGAACAAGCATCCTCTTACTACAGTGACATTGTCATAAAAACATGTCTTTGAGATTAGAGAATTCACCATTAACTAATTTGTTCATTTGGGTAGGTCACATTCCCTGTCTGGGCCTTATTGTTGCTTCTTTGATGTTGTTGTTGTTGTTGTTGCTGCTGCTGGTGGTGGTGGTGGTGGTGGTGGTGGTAATGATGGTGATGATAATGATGGTGATGATGATGGTGGTGATGATGATGATGGTGGTGATGGTAATAATGGTGATGATGATGGTAGTAGTGATGGTGGTGTTGGGGTTGATATCAGTCAATTCTAAGGGCTGATTATATAAGACTATTCATGAGAAAAGCCTGGATCTATGCATGATAGACAGTGAGTGCTTGGGAAAATCCCACCTCCAAAGTATATTTCCCCAATTTGCCTGCATAGCCCCAAAGTGCTCCTAGCAGCTCTTAGGTTTCTCAGGGTGATCCTTATCTTGAGGATATTCTCTCATGGCTAAGCTCACTCTAGGAGGACTTAGATTTGTTGCAGTGTTTGATGGTATCAGGCACCATCTATGAATTGTAAGATTTCCTAATCTAGATTCTTCATCTATCGAAAGGGGCAGAAGATTCTGAGCATCAGACCATAGTAGCTGGTGCTTAGGAAGGGGATATAAAATACTGATACTCTGCAATCTACACAGAAACTGGACAAAGTTACCTGGCCGGTTCTAGCCTTCTATCTCCTGAACAAAGAGGAGGGTGAAACTGCATTTTACCCCTTGCTAACAATAGCTGTGCCCTCATCGGGCTCAGTGACCCTTGTCACTAAAATGAGATGACAAAGGAGCAGACACTGGTGGCTTTTCCTGGAGGTGTGCAGAAAGGCAAGACCCACATTCATCTCTGCGTGACAGGACATGCAAATTAAAAATTAGAGCTGGCTTGCTCTCCACAATACCCAGGTCAGCAATGCAGTCATCAGCAAAAACAGCTTCTATTTATATAAAAGGGCACAGGAGGGGGCTCAGCTCCATTATATCTCGCGTCTTATTTCTAGCTCCTCCGGAAACAAAGGGCTGTGGCCACATTGTTTAGAAAGTTCACTGTGGAAATGAAAGCCACACTGGGCCAACATCACAAACTGCGACAGACTGAGCAGGTTTAAACATCAGAAACTTACTTCCAAGCAGTTATGAAGACTGGAAGTCCAATTCTGAGCATCAGCAGATTTGATTTCTTCTCTCCTGGGCTTGTAGGTGACCATCTTTGCACTTCCTCATCACCTGGCCTTTCTTCCAGGCCAGCATGTGCCTGAGCAATCTTTGGATGCAAAGAACACTAATTTGTCAGGTTCATGGTCAGAAGTACTGGAGACTTAGGTTTCAACATGAGTATTTGTGGGAGCCACAATTCAGTCAAATCTCGTTGGTTAGGAATATGGGAGCATGAGGGAGAAGATTCAGTCCACAAAGACTGTGTCATTAGAGCACAGCACGGCGGGACACACTATGACATCAGCACTTACGTCATTACAGAAGGGCATGGTGGGACACACTATGACATCAGCACTTAGGAGGTGACAGCAGAAAGATCAAGATTTCAAAGCTACCCTCAGATACAAAGGAAGTGTGAGGCCAAGAACATGGCATAAGCAGAGATGACCAAGAGCCTCTGTTTCATAAAATGCTGAAGGCACGTTCTGACACAAGGGTTGTCCTGTAGCCCACATGTACACACTACAGTTTCTTAAAGTGCCTGCTTTCACACATCCGAGCACATGTGCATGCATGTGTTTGCATGTGTGCATGTGCACACACAAAGAGAGATCTAAAAATAAATAATTCCTTCTGAACTCCTGGCAAGCATGGTACCTAAACACATTGGCTGGATTCTATCCCTGTGTGAAATATTCTCTCTGCTTGATAGCCTGACGCCACCCCTCTCTGATTTGCACCTGATTCTCTTCTGCCTCTTTATCTAAAGAGTTCTTTATCTGACCTCTCAAAGCTCCCACTAACTTACCTTCAGGCAATCTCATCCCTCAAGGCAAACAAAGCAAGGTCACCTTACAGATTTGTGTCTAGAACACACACATCCCTTAAGGATTCTGTACTTGTACAATGTCTGTTATAAGGATATCGTACCTATACAATGTCTGCAATATGTATATTGTACATGAACAATGTCTATAACTAAACATAGCTTTGCCTTTGGGAATATTCCCTTCCCTGTTTTCCCAGGCTCCTGTGTGACAAGCCCATGTTTTGGACTGCTCAGACTTCTGATCCTTCCTTCCATTTTCAACTTCTCTCAAATCTTGTGAAAAACCATCAGCAAATCCTGTTGTCTTGGCCTTAAAGAATACACCCAGAACAGGCAGTTGTGGCACACACTTTTAATCCCAGCACTCGGGAGGCAGAAGCAGGTGGATCTCTGTGAATTTGAGGTTAGTCTGCTCTACGGAGGGAGTTCTAGTACAAGTAGAGCTGTTACAGAGAGAAACCCTGTCTTGGAAAAAAAAATACACCCAAACTCCAGTCCTTCTCCCTCTGGTCACCGTGATCCCCTGGGGCATTAGCTTCTCCCATTTGGTTTATGGCACAGTTTCTTTTTCAAAAGAATCATTTTATTTTTAATTATCATGTGTGTGTGTGTGTGTGTGTGTGTGTGTGTGTGTGTGTGTGTGTATGAACGTCTATGTTGGGGCATGTGCACATGAGTACAGGCGTCTGAGGAGGCCAGAAGATGGTTTGGGATCCCTGGAACTGGAGTCAAAGATGGTGGTGAATGGTCAGCCCCACACTGGTGCTGGGAACTGAACTTGGTTTTTCTGAAAGAGCAGTAAGATGCTTAACTTTTGAGCCAGCACTCCAAGCCATACCAGCTCCTTATCTACACATCCAGTCATTTATTCTTTCAAAGGACCCAGAATCATCTTCTTAATCCTGGACCAGAGTCTGCCACTCTTCTACTGAGCCCCTCCAGTATTTCCCCAAACAGAGAGACAGCAGAGGGCCTGGCACTGGCCAGGTGTCACTCAATCGGCTGCTGTGTCTGTGACCCCCACTCTTCTCATCTTCCCTTCTCTGCTCTCTCTATCATTCCCTGTCTGTCCCTGGTTCCTGAGTAAGTTCTCTCCCTTCTCCATCATCCCCTGCCTGTCCCTGGTTCCTAGGTAAGTTCTCTCCCTCTCCATCAGCCCCTGGTTCCTAAGTTCTCGCTCCCTTCTCCATCATCCCCTGCCTGTTTCTGGTTCCTATGTAAATTCTCTCCCATCCTCATCAGCCCCTGCTTGTCCCTGGTACCTAGGTAAGAGCTCTGCATGAGCCCCTGCCTGTCCCTGGTTCCCGGGTAAGTTCTCTCCCTCTCCATCATCCTCGGGTTCCTAAGTGAGTACCCTCTCTTCTATACCTGCTTATGTTTTCTCTTCTAAAATCACATTATCCCCCACAGCCGTGTGACTTCATCCCATTGTCCTTCAATGTCTCAAGTACCTGGGGGCTTCTACAACCAATCTCTGTAAAGGAGCCTGCCAGTTCCCTCCTTGTTACTCCATGGCCCCTTCTGCTTTTTTCTGGAAGGAAACACGTGTCCTTCCACCACGCTGTGTAGTTTACTCCTCATTTGCTTATGGCCGGACTTTCTTCATTAACAGGTGATCAGCAATTTTCGATTTTAGTTGCAGTATGGATCCTCATAGACTATTAGATGTTCAATAAAAGTTTGACAGAAACTAGATAAAGAAGAGTCACTTCCCTTCGTGGGTATAGCCACTGACAGTTTCCCTACGCCCCACACCATAGGAATCTGAACAGCAATAATTGACTTCAGAGATTATAAAGTCCAGTGGACATGAAAATGAGAGGGAAATGTATTAGGTTCACAGAGGGAATGGAAGAGAAGAATGGGATAGGTATCTTTTATACTATATATTTTACGCATGTATGAAATGTTCAAAGAATAAATGGCATATTGACAAAAGGTAAGTATGTTCATGAGTGGAAAATTATAAGATGTCTTAATTATAAATTATAAAATATTTTATATGCATCTGTCAAAAAGTCTTCCAGTCAATTCTTTAAATGCCCCTTGAATGAAGAATTGTCTTATTCTCTGTATCTACAGCTTTCCCCCCAAAGTTAAAGTTTAATAAATGTTGGAGTTGAGGCTATAGATCAGTCATTAATAAACTCATTCTGAACTGAGGGACATAAGCTCTCGCTGTCTTCAGCAGCATGACCTCATAGCAAGGCAGATGGCTTGAGCTCCCTGCTGTGTGTTTTCGTGAACAAGAACCCACAGCACAAATAATTGTCTATTTTTCCTCACTAACATATGCAGAAGGCAATTCATGAATGTCAACGCCGGACATTGGTGTTCAGCAGTTTCCTCTTTGTTTATTTGTTTGTTTGCATTTGAGACACAATCCTACTTGGTCCTCAAATCCAGTGTGTATCTGAGGATGGCCTTGAACTTCAGATCCTCCTTCCTCCTGAATGTGGGAACTGCAGGTGTATACCCTTTTATGAGGTTCTAGGAATCAATCCAGGACTTCCTGCCTGTTAGGCAACCACTCTGCCAGCTGAACGACATCACTAGTCCTGAATTATTCTTACCCATTTGTAATATTATCTTATTCTTGCTTTAACTGTAAAGTCGTCCCTTTTCTGTTCCTGAGCAGCTGTTCTTGAAGGGAGAGGGGCATGGAGGACATAGCAGATAATCCCCCATTGTGTGCAAACAGCACTACCCAATCAGCCAGCCTGGGCTGGAGCACTCAACCACAACTGCAGTTAGCATGCTTTGAACTTGCAGCTTTTATGCCTTCGAAAGCCACCTGAGCAGAGGGTGGCAGACTATGGCCCTTTTCTGCAGGCCAGTTCCCCCTATGCTAGATTACAAAGGAAAGTTTGCTTCATTGCTAACATTATCCACTGCCTGGAATGAGAAATCACATCCCACAGAGCCTGGACTCTGCTTTTCTGATGCAGGCTTCTCCTTCCTTCTCCTGAGAGAAGAAAAGTGTGTTGTGAACTTCTCTAGCCACCAGATTACTCTGTTCTTCAATTACAAAGAAAAAAATCTATTCAAAATCTGTGCTTTGGCATTAGGGTGTAATAAGATAACTCTAACCAGGATTGTGAAAAATATCTTACGATGTCTGAGGAGAGCAGTAGTTGCTCTAACAGGAGGCTCCTGAAGGTTCAACCCTGATGTTTTCATTTAGACTCAGGACCAAAATGGCTTGCTTTAGTATTGATAGAAAAACAGAAATGGAGACTATAGTAGAAACTCCGCTGTGATGGAAGTCCGAGAGCCAGAATCCAGCAGTAGCTCCAGTACTAAGCAAGTCATATGAGCCAGCCCTGGATATCCGGAACCTCATTTTGAGTCACAATTTTCCAAGTGACTAATTCTAAAAGTTGGAGTAAGCCTCTGTACCTAGAAGTCTCTGTTTCTCCATTTTTTGCAAAGAACAGCATCTGAAACTTGTGAAGTAGTAAGGATGAGAAAGTGTAAAACTCTAAAGCCCAGGGTGTGATTACAAAGTTATTGACCACTCAACATCCATAATTCCCACCCAATGCCTTTGTTATAGCTACATCGATTGTAAGTCTGTGCATACTCTTCCCTTTGAAGCAGCACATCTTTCTTCTGCTGGATAGCAGCTATCCAACCCATCATTGGCTTTGCGAAGCTGGCGGGATGTCTTATATATAGCTCCATTCACAAAATCTGATGGAATTTTTGTACTCAGTATCACGTGTTTCTATATAAGTGAGGCCACTAAAGTGCATTGACTAAGTTCTCTGAGCTTGCAGTTAAAGACAGAACACTTAGATATGAGCAACAAAATAGACAACAATTTGTTCATTCATTCCCATCCTCATCCATTCATCATCCCACCAGCACATGGGCACACTCTCTTTGTGTGAATGAAGCAGAGCAGACCTCTGTGTTCTGATGCATGTGGGGCTGCTCCCGCAGAGCGCTGAACATCATGTCCTAATCTGATGGCCTGTTTATTGGTAGCACACCTCAAGACATCTTGCCTAAACAGGACCATAACCTCCTTTCCTGTGCATTTTTCATCCCCACTGCTTAAATGACTGGAGAATTTAGCAGATAATAGACACCCACCAAAGAGATGCAACTTGAAACTGGATGGCTGGCAGGATACTGAACACTTTGCTACAACTAATCCCATTTCTTTATCCTAGTATGTCTGAGATTCGGCATATTGTACCTCCCCTGTAGACGAGGATAGAGTGACGTGCTCACGACAATAACAAGTGATGCATCTGATGGAGGGTATGGAC